AGGCATTGTGGTGGTCACCTGTAGTCCCAGCTACTGGGGAAGCTGAGGTAAGAGAATCACCTAAGCCCAAGAGCTAGAGGTTGCTATGAGCTGTGATGCCACGGCACTCTACCGAGGACAACAAAGGAAAACTCTATCTCAAAAACAAATAACAAAAATAAAATAAAATATTAAGGGGGAGAAAGACAAAACCCACACACACCTGTGTCCCCTTACACACACATACACGCACATCACAAACAGGTAAGTAAGTCCATGGTGCCTGGCTCCTGTATGTATGAGAAACCCTCCCTGCTCCAGCCCATGCCATCAGACTCCCTTGTCCTCCCCACACAACAACCATTTTCAAGTATCCACTGCTCCAGAGGCATGGGCAGGAGTAGTCCCCACTCTTAGTTTTCACAGATGCTTGATCCTTATTCAGTTCCAGCCAACCTGGCATCTGAGGGGTCAATTGCCAAACCCACACCAAGGACAATGCAGCGCCTCAATGCGAGGGACCAGAGACGTACTGACCAAAACAGCTTTTCTTCTCCCTCTTTCTTCTTCTTGTTCCTCTTCGTCTTCTTCTCCTTCTCTCTCCTTTCTCTCTCAAGTATACACTCATCAGAAGACCTGAAGCGTTCCTTTGCTCTTCCTAATGTTATATAACCAATTGCAGTTTCAGAATATACCAGAGCAAGTTCTCAACAAATAACTTATCTCTGGGTTTGTCTTCTACATAAAATGTGAGTTATACTCAAGATAAAACATGTTGAGTTAAACTTTGTCTGCACCAACCTTCATATCTCCTCCAAGCCCGAGTCAACCTAGGCCTCTTTTTGACACTGTGGGCAGCTCCAGGTTTAGTTTGAAGGTCATCTCTCAGTTCTTGTATACAACAGGAAGGAGATATAAACAGAAATATTTGAGAACAGAAATGGCCAACAACATCCCCTTGGAGGCTACTAAGATATCAGATGATGGGAGAAACCTACACCTTATTCTTTGATGAGTCTGTGATATCGATTCACAATATTAGCAATTGATGCCTGCCCAGATGGCTGATGGATTATCTATCATTCTATTTCTACCATTGTGGATGAATACTTTTGAGTTATAAAGTATTTTTTATTTTTACTCTTAAAGATCCAGTTTGTCCTAGGAGGAGCCACATCTCAGAGCTTCCTTAGACTGCAGTGCAATGTTTCATGGAGACCAGGGAAAGGTCTGACAGTGACCTAGGGAGATTGTGCTTACTTCCCTTTTTTTTCCTACTTGTGGTCTAAATGATGCCACGATTGATGGGGAGACCTGGGGTGAGTTGTTCAACTGCATCAAACTCAATCTGCCCCTCTTTCAAAAGCAGAGATTTCGCTCCCTTTCAAATGTCACAAGATGATAAAATATGCTCATTGTATGCATGCATATGAGCACCAAAGGTAATTTAAGAAAACAGGATGTTTACCTGAATCTTTGAAAGCCATTAGCAAAGGGCATGGCAACCCCCTAGGCACCATAAAAAAATACAGTGAAAGGCAGCTAGTTACATTTGTAGGAGGACAGATGAGGGTGAGTGGAAGGGAAAAAAATGTTCTTCCTATAGCATTTCACTAAAAATTTCAATTTTACAAGTAATAAATCAATATTTTTTGGTATTTTTATATTTTTAAAAGTACACAAAACCACCTATGTACACAAGCCCAGGTGAACGTAACAAGTAAGTCTTCATACATCTTCTTTGGTCTTAAAAAAGCTTAACTTCTCTGGAGTAATGTCTTGCCTATTCCTGCAATAGTGACTCAGTAAAAATACAGAACACTTCATGAATTTGTGTGTCATCCTTGCCCAGGGGCCATGCTAATCTTCTCTGTATCATTCCAGTTTTAGTATATGTGCATAGATTCTTATGAACATAAGACCTATAAGACAATCGGTCATGGTTCATACACTCAAGAGTCAGGCAGTCATGGGGTCAGGTTGCAGCACAAAACTGCAGGCCTTGGGACACTGAGCAAGTCGATTTCCTCTGCAACTCAGTGTCTTTGCCAAAGGCGAAACGGAGCAGCCTTTGCACATGATAGGTGCTCCATGAACAGAAAAATCACCTCTAAGAACAGACCGTGTTTGTCTGAGCATGTCTGGAATGTAACCATGGAAGCAGACAAAGAAGCCAACCACCAAACACAGCCTCATGTGAACCAATTCCTTCCTCCGCCATCAAGCATTTACTAAGACCTACTATGTGATGGGGATCATGCCAGACTTTGAGTGCTCTTCCTCAAGTAAAGTAGTGGATGTGACACAGAATAACAACACAAGGTCAGTGTCAGGAAAGAGGGAGTTGGGGCAACTTCTCAGAGGAGGTGCCCCCAGAGGTGAGACTCGAGTGGAGGACAGGAGTTGGAAGGGGGTCATAGGATGAAATCCCTTCTGAGCTCAGGAGATGGCCCCATAAAGGAGTGGATGTGAGAAAGCATAGAGACAGCATGGCCTTACTCACTTTGATGAGTCCAGGACTGAGCCCGTTACCCAGCACACTCAGCCCTGGTGCCTGGAAATGCATGCAACTGAGAAGGGGAAGGAAAGGAGACCTGCTTCAGGAGTGAGGTCAGAAGCAGGATACAGAACTATGAGCCTGAGAGAAATACGAGGGACAGAACACGCTCTGAGAAGAGTGACACAGGCCAGCATGTGCCGATGGCAGCGCCTGGCATGGAAGGAGCACCAGACGCAGAATCCAGAAGACCCCCTGTGGTCACCTAGCCACTACTGCTTGCAGGGCCTTCGGTAAGTCATCTTGATAACTTTCTTCTGCTCTAAAATCTGGGAGACAAACCTGCTGAGCTCAGATCTCTTCCCATTTTATTCCATTTAAAAGACACTTGTTGAGTTTCCACTCAGTGCTGAGCACCACGCTAGCCACTGGGGACCCAAAGATGAGTAGGGTACTGTGCTGGTCATTCCACATTTGCTGCTCCCATGTGCTCAGATCCACCCTCATTCTTTCTCGGCCCTACTCTGGGCTCCAGGCACCAACTCCCTGCCCCTGGTCACCCAGGTGTCTTGCCTTCTGCTTATCCATTCTGTTCACACACTGGGAGGCACCCATGGGAAGTGGGAGAGGACAGGAGAGAGACACTGGGGAATTTCTCCCCCTGCTCCCCACCTCATCTACCTCTGAGGCTGGCTATGATTATCTCTCTGCACAACTACATTCCCAGTCCAGCAACCTGTCTTCAGTGGCTCCTGTCCTGAGAGTCAGTAACACTATTGTTCCCCCATATTCCCTGCTCCTCTAGGCCCAGAATAGTCGGTAGCTGCTGACTCAAGTGCTGACTCCTCAACTTCCTTGGCACCTGCCCTCCAGCGTTCTGCCTAGTTTCTTCATTAAGATTTCTTCAGCTCAACTTTGGGAGTGGAATTCTATTTGTGGCCGGCCCCTACACCTGATACAAAGCTTAGAGTGCAAGTTGAGAGGTAGAATTATATGCCATGTATCCAGATGTAAAACATCCTGGGAAACAAGGAAAGGCTGAAGAAGAGAAGCTGAAGGGAAGAGTTACAGACAAAGCCCCAGGACCAGGATGAAAGAACTGAAGGTGAAGTCAGAGATGAAAGAATGGGACCAAAGAGAGTTTATTATTGTTGCAGTTACTGTTACATTAAAAATAATTTTGCAGATTACAGCCCAAAGAAAAGTAAAATCTGCCATATTAGAATGAAGACTGTGAGCAATGGGAGAACAGGCATAATTTGACCTGGGAATCTGAGTAAGCATTGATTTTTGCTGTTTCAGGCAGATTGATCTTTTTCAGAAAATTCAGAAATTTAAAATATATGCAAGCTCTGTAGAAAATAATAAATTCTGGTTTTGGAACTAAAAGTTAGCTGGGAACCAAAAATGAACAAAACCAACAATTTCGACACTAATATCAATGAAATTCTTTCTTATGCCTTCTGATACTTAACATCCTGATTCCCCAGGCTGGGGCAGATCCTAACTTTCTCCACTGACACTTATGCTGTCAGAGAGTACACAACAGCTTCTATTGTGGTCTTCAAAGGGCAGATGTCCCACTGCCCTGCCATCGATACCAAGTTATGAGCACAGTTGGAAGGAGGACATTGCATCATAGAACCAAGGAAGGCAAGCTAGCACGCAAGGAAAGCCAGCAATGTGGAAGTTCAGGCCTCTGCTCTGCGTCATCTTACAGCTCCAAGACCTAGAGGCCCTATGACCTTTCCTTACTAGGGCAGGATAGAGAATCTTATCAGAAATCCATTTATGCAAGCAAAAATCACAGGTCAAGGATGACTTAAGCCATTGTGTAACATAAATAGCACTGTACCAAAATCCCCCAATTTAAGGGATCCCCTGACCCTTGATCCTGATACTTGTTTCATGAGCTCATGGAAAGGATTAAATTAAACCATGCAGGTAAAAGATATACTCTGAGCTGTGCCATGGAATTGGCCTGCAACATGGCAGCCCTCACTCTGCAGAGACCACATCGATGTGCTGGGCTCAGTTGGCCTGCAACACGGCAGCCCTCACTCTGTGGAGACCACGTCAATGGGCTGGGCTCAGTTGGCCTGC